CTCCCCTGGCTTGCCCACCCAGGACGTAGGAGCAGAGGACTGAGTGTCCCCACTGTTAGCGGAGGGGCAGAGGCCCAGAGGTGGCAAGAAAAGGGAGGCACGGGGCTGGCCTGGACTCTGCCACCGGGCCCAGGGCTCTGGGAGGGCATATCCTGAGTGCCAGGGAGAGGGGTCTAGCAGGGTGGGCTCCTGTCCCAGCCGTACTCCTTTAGGCTCCTGGGAAGGCGGGATCTTGCTGCCACCCAGTAGAGACCCTCGGGGATTCGAGGCCAGCATCACCGCTGGGCCCTGCCTCTGTCCAAGGTGGGAGGGACATCGTGCCTGAGGGACACAAGTAGGGGCAACAGGTGGAGAGCCCCGGAGACATGACTGGAGCTCCAGGAGACAGAAGGGTCAGGCCTGGGCAAGGAGGGGATGGCCACTGCCCAGAGCTTGGGAAGGGTCTGGAGGTAGCTGGTGGGGCTACAGTGGGAGGAGGGGAGGGGAGCACAAGCACCTCCCGCGAAGTAGCCGCCTTCCAGGAACTCCTGCAGGCCCAGGGCCTCGGGCCCCACGCCCACCAGACGCACGCCGTGCTGGTCCAGTAGCCCCCTGAGGCTGCTGAGGTCCCGGGCGATCCAGCGACACACCGAGCAGCCGAAGCGCCGCAGGCCAGCCACCACGCACGCCTGCTCCAGCCACAGACTCCGCAGCTCCACTGCCTGCGCGGAGCGGGCGAGGGGCGCCGATGGACCACCTCCCACGCGCGTCCGTGCCCCCAGCCCCGCACCGCGCAAGCCCGGACTGCGCCCCCAGCTCCACGACCCGAAGCCCGCTGCGCATGCCACTGCCAGGGCGCCCGGGCTGGTGCCAGGGGCCCACCCACCGCCCTGCGCTCGTCCGGCCTCACCTCCCCGGTCACCGCATGCTTCAGGACACACGCGCCCACGCGGGCAAGGTCCACCGCGCTCATGTCCACTTGCCACCGTGCTCTTCGGCTGCGCGCCAGGCTCCCAGCCTGCTTGGCCACGCCCCGCCCGTGCCCCGCCCCCCTGCGGCTTCTCTTCCAGGCCGCGCCCCCAGGTCACCTCTCCTCTGCCGGCCCCTCCCCCAGACGCCCGCTCCTCTGCCGGCCCCGCCCCCAGACGCCCGCTCCTCTGCCGGCCCCGCCCCCAGGCCGCCTCTCCTCTGCCGGCCCCGCCCCCAGGCCGCCTCTCCGCCGCCGCCCACAGCAGCGGCCCGGGCCGCGCTTTGTCACTTGTTTTGCATATGCATAAGCCTGTCGGCCAATGGCGTCGCTGTGCTGGCTGCCGGAGAAGCTGGGCGGTTGGGCAGCGGACACGTGGTGCGCCTGCGCACAGCGCTGCCCCACGTGGGGGCGGGCTCCGTTTTGCCCGGCCAGGTGTAGAGCCGGAGAGCGACCGGAGTCCCCTGATCCTAGGTCCCGAGTTTGGGGTCCGGGGCGGGCGGGAAGGCGGGAGCGCGAGCGGGACAGCGGCTACCTAGTGCCCGGTTTGCAGGGCAGGGTTAAGGTGAGTGCGGTGAGCACTCGAGTCCCGGCTCTGGGGCCCGGGCCTCGTCCTATAGGCCGAGGAGCCCAAGGGCTTAGCATTTACCCTTATCTTATTTCAGCTTTAAAATCCACGCGAATGCTTCGCTTTCTCAATTGGATATCTGCGTTGGCTTTAATCATAATGCTGGTAATTTCTTAAAGCAAAGTCTTCTTTTAGCCCCCAGACTTTGGGTAAAATAGACCTGAAAGAAGTAAGAGCAGTTTACTGCGTGCTTTGCGACTTTGTTTATTGCTCACCGCAGTCTTGTGACACCTGTGATCACCCGGTTTTACCGATAAAGGCCCGAGACATTGGCGTGAGAAACGAAGCCAAGACTTAACCCGGATAATGGGACACGCAGATCTGTCTGGGCCCCAGCCCTCAGCCTCACTCCCCAGGTCCCACAGAGAGCCCCTGGACCAGGCTGGAGACCTCGGAGTCTCCCAGGTTCGGGAGAGTCATTTAAGGCGTTAAATGTGTGGTAGGTGGTGTTAATCATCCTGTAGACTGTTTTGTTTAGTAAGCAATCAGGTAATTGGCAAGAGGCACTTTTACGGCAACAGAAAATAGAGTAATGGTTAGAGCAAATTATAAACCCAGTGTCTGAGTCTTGCGTGCTGCCAGTGAGATTTGCAGATGTCAAGCTTGGAGTGGGAACACGCAGGAATCAGATGGATTTGTCTGGTTTGTAACCCAAATGCCTCTGGAGGTCCTTGTGAATGGCCCACCGAGCAACGGGCACAAAGATTGTATGTGAGCCTTCTGGCAGTTTCTCTGAAGTTTACCTCAAGGTGTCCAGCTTTGGCAAACAACAGACACTTAAAGGCAACCAGGAGTTTAACGTCTGCAAAGATGTGTTACTGAAACATAATTTTTCTCTCCCAAATCACCCTTATTTCCAGAGATAGCCAGATCAAGACTAATTTGTTTGTAGAACGAGTCCAGTTTTAGCAAACTTGGCCTAATTATTTACATACGCTCAGCAAGAAGAGCAGATTGATAATATAAATCTTTTAAAATTTGCTGTGCTGGAACTTTTTATAGGAAATCTCAGCTGAACTTCCGGTAACCTCTCGAGGCCGAAGCCAAGCCAAATACTTACTATCAGACAGGCCTGCGATACCTGAAGATTTGGGTAGATTCGTCTTCACGAGGTCCCCAAGATCTCCTGAGGTTCCGGCACCTGCCAGGAGGTGACCTTCTTTACTCACCCGGTGAGGCCGCTGGGAACTCTAAGCAAAGTGTCAGGCCAACATTTCCGTGTTTCGTGAAGTCAACCTCAATTCCTTTAAGCTGTTTGGTCATGTCTGAGTCTATGCATCTCTCTCTGAAATATGACTTTCCAGTTGCATTTGTTTAAGAAGTCCAAGAGGACTTTTATCATAAAGATACAAGTCTCTTTGAAGATGAAACTCATTTGGTAAATTGCAAAAGACAAATGCAGTTGACAAGGGAATTCAGTTATTTCTGCAACATAACATTTCACCAGTTAGGATGTTAAGGGATGACCTTATTATCAACACAAATTAAAACGGCAGGAATTTCATATAGTATATTTGAAGTTCTAGCACTTACCCCGGCAATACAACCTAAGATGTATCATTATTTGTTTGACAGGGCTTTCCAAGTAACTTAACATACCAAATAAGCCTAATTGGTCAAAAAGACTTCATTTACAACTTAAATCTTGGGGAAGTTTGTTAAAAACTTCAGAAAATTATAAAGCACGTGCCTAGATAGGATTACAGATCATTATAAAACTTAAAACTTTTATTTATTTATTTAACCAAGGTGGCAATAAGAGATTCCAAAGGCAAATATGTAGGGTTGGGTAGTGGTTAGCAAAACTCAGCTCCTTTAATATTGATGAGTTTTAGTTATTAAGTAACCAAAGACTCAATAAAGACAGAGCATAAAAACCTTGATTTTCCAGGGAGACAAAAGAGAAAAAACCCTTGGGGCGCCTGGGTGTCTCAGTCGGTTAAGCGTCCGACTTCAGCTCAGGTCATGATCTCAGGGTTCGTGAGTTCAAACCCCGCGTCGGGCTCTGTGCTGCCAGCTCAGAGCCTGGAGCCTGCTTCGAATTCTGTGTCTCCCTCTCTCTCTGCCCCTCCCCCGCTCACACTCTGTCTCTGTCTCTCAAAAATAAACATTAAAACATCTTAATAAATAAAAATAAATAAGAGAGAAAAAATCTTTTATTACTTTTTTTTAATCAAGAGCAGACCAACAATCCAAGAAAACTTTGTCTTTAAACAGAGAGAAAAGCAGAATTTTAATGTTATACCGGTGTACTTTTATTTTTTTAATATTTATTTATTTTGAGAGAGAGAGGGAGAGAGCTCAAGTGCGGGAGGGGCAGAGAGAGGGAGAGAAAGAATCCCAAGCAGGCTCCACAGGCTGTCAGCACAGAGCCCGACCACGTGGGGCTCAATCCCTGAGCTGTGAGATCATGACCTGAGCGGAAATCAAGAGTTGGGCGCTTAACCGAGTGAGCCACCCAGGCGCCCCCTACCAGTATCCTTTTAAAATATATTTAGGGGCGGGGCGCCTGGGTGGCCCAGTCGGTTGGGCGTCCGACTTCAGCCAGGTCACGATCTCGCGGTCCGGGAGTTCGAGCCCCGCGTCGGGCTCTGGGCTGATGGCTCAGAGCCTGGAGCCTGCTTCCGATTCTGTGTCTCCCTCTCTCTCTGCCCCTCCCCCGTTCATGCTCTGTCTCTCTCTGTCCCAGAAGTGGATGAACGTTGAAAAAAAAAATTAAAAAAAAAAAATATATTTAGGGGCAAAATGAACCGTCATTTCAAGGAATCCCTTTGCCAACAATTTGCAACAGAGAGAACACGAGCTTATTTGACCTTCAGTAAACCTAGGTAGAAAAATTTTCATATTTATGTTGATGACTCTAAAGACATGTCTGTCATAATTGAGCCAACAAATTAGTGTAAACGCCAAATGTGTTCCACCTGTGTGTCCCCCGCTGTCGATTTTTCCCTGGGGCCCCCGTAAAGGGGGTGCCCTTCGCTCCTGGACACTGAGGAGGAGGGGCCGGTGGCCCCCGAGGCACCCAGAATTGTACAGGAGCCGGCTATGCAGGCCGCACCCGCACCCGAGGCGGTGCACAGACAAGAGGAAGGGGAGGGGGAGGGGGAAGAGGTGGGGTGCAGGAATGCTGGAAGCTGAAAAAAGCCCAGAGGACAGAGAAAGAGGCCTCCCGGTCCCCAAGCCTGTCAGCTCGGACACATGAGCGGATGCAGATTATTTTTTCGTCCACAAGCAAGTGGAAATGGGCAGTCGTGCCGGACCAGAGAAGACGGGGAGCTTCCCTGAAACAAAAGGAGTTTCAGCAGCTGCTTGGGAATTTTCCATAAAGTCCCTGTCCCTGGATAGACTAACCAGAGCCAATTGGCTCCAGTTATCACACTCAATAACCCCGGGAATGAAGGAGGGAGAGGCCCCCACACACAGCTAGAATAACCTGAGTCTGTCAGGAGGGACAGTGAGAGCGTCAGAGTCCCTTTCGTTAGGGATGGCCTGTGCTTCCTCCAGCAACCTGGCTTTTTCCAGACGAGGCCTGTTTAGACAACCATCCAGTATATCAGGAGGGAGTTCATCGGCCTGGTTAGTGGCCAAACGCATTCTGCAAGAGGCCCTTCGATCAGGGTCGTGATTTAGGGCCATGCAGGGCTGGACACAGGGTGCCTCAGACCATTTGCCCCATTTCCTGCAGAAGAGATCTAACTGTACTGAAGCTTTAAAAGTCCCGTCAATGAGCTCTTTTTTCTTGTCTCCCCAGGAGTACTGAGGCCGTGCAGTTTGACAGAAGACCTTTTTTGAATCTTGCGATCTGAATTGATTCCAGTGGATTAAAAGGCATCCCAAGGGAGAGACCTTGGGGACCAAGGAAGAAGCCTAGAGGTTCATTACCAAGAATCCCCCCTGGCCCGACTCCCGGGTGACGTCTCGTGCGGAATATGTTACAGGTTCCCGGTGTCAAAGCGACTGGAGGGGTCCCTCAAACAAAATCACTATGATCACCGGGCAGCTGAAAAGGCCCCCCGTTCCCCGACGCATGCTAGACTGCAAAATGGGTGTCTGCACATGGACCAAAACACTGTGCTGCGCCTTGCCATGAAGGCCGTGCCATTTTTCACCCATGGCAAACACCAGAAGAGCTTTATAAGGGGAAATTATCCAATTTTGTAATTTCAGTAGTCAGTAGGGGACACTGATGAAAAAATAGTAAAGAGCGAAATCCATCACAGTGTAAGCAACATTCCAGCATATGTAGACTTTTACAGCTAACTTCTCTAGGAAGCCAACCCCAGTGGGGCTTTGATTCACTCGAGTGCTGGTTTCGGCCCACCCTGAGCCTAAGTCTTGCAGCCAGAAGCGGCTAGACCAGGGATGTGGAGGGGATCAC